CCGAGAAGGACAGCATCTAAAGACGGTGAGTGAAACACTGTTAACCTATAACACATATACACACATTACAGTTTGCCTCGATTATGATTACCATGTCTGTGCATGATGTTTGCCGAGGGATGTTTTTTATGAGACAGACTCATACGCCTGTTGTTTTGGGTATAGATCATGTGATGTCCAGTTTTTTTTTATATAGACACAAAGGAAATGTAAAGATGTGTATGTGAGCGCAGGTGTTGTGCTGGAATGCTGCTTTTGAGTGTATATATACGCATATAGGAGTGAGATTGCATCTACAATATGCAATCCTATAAACACTTGCATATATACACACATTTACGGTAGGACTAAAAACATTTGTGTAATAGGTTTGTATGTTTTTGTGCATACTCTGTATGTGTTGCTTGAGTGAGCATGTGTGTTTTTTTGCGAGCGTGTGTCTTTATTTGTGATTCTGCTCTTAATAATTCATCCCGTGGCCTCTGCGCCTTTGTTTCTAACGTTTCTTCGCTCTGCTGTTGACTTCGATGGCCTTCTTTTGTGCATGTGTGCATGAGAAAAGGGACCAGAAGGACTGGCTCAGGGGTGAATATCAAAAGTGCATTTCTATTTACTTATGTGTTGCAAGATACAGTAACAACATACATGTTGTCACACACATGCATAGTTGACCTTGTGCATTCACAGGAAGTTAGTACGGCGTGGGGTGAGAATGTGTGAAATATGTGCTGAACTGGACGTGGAGAAATGGTGCTAAAGTGAGAGACTATTACATCACGTGTGTGTGTGTGTGTGTGTGCGGGCTGCATGCTTGGGAGTCAAATGACACATCGCTCAACTAATTATCCTCTCCACACACACACACTTGCATATTATCACACTCTCAAACTTGCATGTTCTAGGAAACGTAATGCGCGGAAAATGTTCACGTGTTGAGCAACTCCAAAAGGTGTTTGCAGAGACTCACTTGCACACACACATTCACACATGCAATATAACCTCTAAATATCTGCACATTTTTCCACTGTGCCGTTTCGGATGACAGCCTGGTGAATTGGTGTTGCGTTGCGTTGCGCAAATATGCACACACAGACACACACGCTGTGATGGATGTGGCAGGTGACAAGGCCGAAGTGTCACAAAAAGGGAGGCTAAAACAGCAGCGGCCATTTTACAGCAAACCGGCCTGGCGTAAACAGAAGCAACTTGTAACCTTGTGCTCAATGATCTGAGACACACACATTCACAGCATTGCGTTACACAACTGGTATTATATAATGGTACGTCGTTATAATAAAAATATTCTCGTCTCTGTCATGTGCTGTAAGTGTTTCAGTGTCGTATTACTGTACTGCAATTAACTAAATCGTGTCTGCAGTGTCAGTTCTACTACAGTTTGTACCCTGGAGAGCTGTATTACAGTAAGCACCGCTGTATTGCAGGTGGCTTTGTACCAGGAGGAAAGTTCTGTTTCTCAGATGTTGCTCTTTCATAGCTCAGGGGACTTACAGGATATTTCAGTTATGTTTGATTGAAGTATCAAGTTTGTCTTGGATATTTCTCTTGAAATTCTATAGGAGAAATACAAATAAAAACAAATAAGACAATTGTTGACATACTACATACCCCTTTGACCGAAAATAGGTACTTGAAGTACACCCTGATATTTTAATCTAATATTTCCATAATTTAACAGCATATTTGCATATTTATTATTCTCTGGTATTGTTTACATGACAAAAAGTAAAACAAATAAAATATGTAATCTTTTTTAATACGTTTTAATACTTTTTTATGATGTAATTAATTACTAGTTTTTCATCAGCACATAAATTTGTGGACTTTGCCGACAGAATTTGATGAGAAATATTTGAGCTTGGCTTTTCAGAGTTTGGTATCTTAAACAAATCGGAGAACAGCTGAAGACGTTGTTGAGAAATCTTCTGAATCTTTAGAGGAAACAGTTGTGAGAATACAGGGGTCTTTTTCGCAGTGGAAAAATATGAGAATCAGGAGATGTAAGCATACGTGTCTCCATTTAATCTCATTTGGAAAAAAATTATTCATATTAAATATGAACAGTATTATTAAATAATAAAGTATTTAAATAAAATAAAAAATCATTTTAAATATTCAAGAGCTCACACTTGTGATTTTTCATTCTTGTAGAATGTAACTGCATTTTCCATCACTTTACTGGAACATGTTGAATAGTCTAATCAATGGTACAATAGAATTTTGAACAGAAATGAGGAACAAAGTTGCAAAGTTTGTGTTGAAAGTTAATTGCTAATTTGTTCTTTCCTAAGATGTTTTCTATTGAGCCTAGACTAGAATACATACAGAAGGGATCAAACTTGACAGAAAGTGAGCTGATTTGAAAAAATAAGCCATGATATGACAGTGACACTGTTGTTACCAATATGTCAAGATTTATTTGAGTTTCACCGCAGCTACTAAAAACACACACCATGCAGCTCACACACTCAGTAAGCCATCTATGCTGAGACAGGCAGAAAACAAGCGCTCACCTTCAAAGTCATATTAAGTACAGAAAAAAACTGACTATCCTTCAAACTCTCTCTGCAGTCTCGTCACTGGCCCCATATCGCTGCCTGTGGAGGCTGGCATCAGGGCCAGCTGATGTCACAGCAGATCTGAGGCAGCTGTAGTCATAGAAGCGCAGAAATGCAGCTCAGCACTGCACCTACAGTGGGTCGCAGGAGGAGAGGAAATCCGGACAGCCAAGGTGAGCCCAACACACACACACACACCTTCACTCTTCTGAAGGGGATGGGCTTAAGGACCGATTACTTTCATACAGTTTTACATGCTTTTTGTGACTATCAATGATCTAAATCAATTATTTACATACCACCAGAGTGCAGACTGATGCGTTTCAAGAAATGATCAGTTTCACTAATATGTTTGTGGAAAGAAAGGTGGTGTGTGTTGACGTATGTGTCCATATGGGTGTGTATAGAGTGCAGCAAACATCACCAGCTGCCCCAGCAACAGATGGATTAGGATGGCTTTAGTTAATGTGTGTCTGATTAAAGATCTGCATGAAGCAACGCAGAGGCAACACAAACACACACACACACACAGCTCTGCTGCATTGTCACATATACTTACAGCTGTATAGTGAAAATATTTATGCTGGTTTAGTGTCAGACTTAAAATCTGTATTGTAAGTCAATACTTAGTCCATACAGCTTTTGTTTTTCTGGGGAACACAAAGCTTTTTGAAAGAATATCCTAGCCATTCCTTTCAGTTTAATGAAAGTGAATGAAAACTGGTGTTGTCAAGCTCCAAAATGACAAAACACCATAAAATGATCTTAAAAGACTTGCACACTCTTCAAGGACTTCTGAAGCCATAAGCTAGCTTTGTGTGAGGAAAAGCCTGTTTGCTGATTATTCACTGATAATCTTGACATCCACACTAGATCTGTTAAGGAATCTTTCTTTTGAGTCTGATAGTTTCAATTAATACGTTGATCCAGTTCATAAAATGCATCTGAATGATTCAATGAGTCAAATGACTATAGATTGTAGAATATAGAGTATGTAAGTTGTACGAATTTCTTTTATGGTGCATTTTGTAACTTAAAAGCTGCAGTCCCCATTCATTTTCAATGAAGCCATCAGCACTCTCTTAAAATTTCCAAATTTCTTTAGGAATTTGTTTGATTTATTCTGGGAACTGGAGTCCTCCTGTTAAAATGAGCCAATCCTAAAAGCTAAGAAAAGAGGGACACTTCATAAAATTGTAGTGAAGGCACAGAATAGATGTTCATCCTATTTTAAACTAGGTCCAGTCGCTGGGAGATTTCTGTCCTCGACACTGACATACAGTCTTCTTTGTGGTTTTCTACAGGATTGTTCTGAACACATAGGGCTCATGACAGTGAAAGAACATTGTTTCAATAACAGCAGTCATATGCCTATCCTGATGTGCTGACACACATTTCTCCTCAGCCAAACAGAAGGGATGAGAGAAAAAAGGGAACTTGTGCTGGAAAGATGGGATATACTGAAGATTGAAAGTTGACTGGCCAAAACAGCAATTCTAGAATCATTCACAACTACATAGTTGAGAAGGATGGATTAATTATTGAGATTACACAGAATTGTGTGAGTGTGTATGAGAGAGAGAGTGTGTGTTTGTGATGATTGTATGTGTCTCTGATTACAGAGGGATCAGGGTGTTGAGGCTGGTCAGGATCAGATATCTGAGTGCTGTAACTGCATCTGTCTGCACTCAAACTGCCAAACACTCTCTCACACACACACGCACACACACACATTCAGCAACGAGACAACTGTGAACTCAACATTTAAAACCGTCATACCCATTGATAGCATGTGATTGTCTCTCACACACACAGAGAAACATTGCTCCCTACCCTTTTCCACAGTTGCATAAAAGAGAGAGGTGACGAACAGTTGGCAAATGTTTGTTTTGTCATGGCAGAGCAGAGGACGTTCTCTGTTTAACTCTGAGGCACATTATATTCCCATCATACATGTTCATTTAGAATGGAAAAGCAACTGCCATAGGAGAACTTTTTAGGTTCCACAAATAACTTTTGACTCTCTAGTTCAGTGGATCTCCATTGGTTTTGCTTCACAAATGGTGAGCCAGCAAAGTATCAGAATTGTTTAAGGTATAAAAGTAAACAAAAATGTCTTTAAAATCACACAGTGAAATTTCTTAATATTACCATAAGAGTGCTCATAGGCCCAAAAATATGCAAAACATATACAGTGGGTACGGAAAGTATTCAGACCCCCTTAAATTTTTCACTCTTTGTTATATTGCAGCCATTTGCTAAAATCATTTAAGTAAAATTCTACTCCCTATTTATTTCACTAGCCTATGCACCGTTTTCCCTGCTACCTTTAATCCTATCAGAACAGAACTCCATGATTCCATCCAAAATGCTTGTCCAGCGCAGGGTCGGAACAGACCTGTAACCAAATTTTAGGTGCCACCCACCAACTTAGAACCACTGCAGTTGCTTCATAGAAACCTGTTTACTGATACATTAAAGAACCCAGAAACCAATACTGATCTCAAGAATTTATGTTACATCAGCCAACAAGGAACCATTTAGCCAACTCGAGGATCTCATTCAGGAAACGACAAAGAAATAGCTGAATTGTAGTCATTTACTCACCAATGCACGTTCAGTGTAGCTCTTAAATCTCATTTGCACTCAGTTCTCATTTGCACTCACATTCAATTGAAATATTGAATGTTTTGTGCATTTCTTTATTGATTTTCAGTAAATAGAAAGTTAAATTTTGGTCTTTTCTTTGCAAAGCACGCGTGTGGTTTTGGAAGACTTTGAATACAGCACACAAGTAATAGACTTATTTTTTTGGTACTTTTTTTTTTCTTCCATTTTTGACAGCTCCAGCCTCCAATATGATAAAAAGCATTTTCGACTTTCTGCAGTATATCTTCTTATGTGTACTAGGGAGGAAAGAAAGTCATACAGTTTTAAAGAGACATGAAGGCGAGTAAATAATTACACGATTTTCATTTTTGGCAAAATAACCCATTAAGAGTGCTCTATACACAAATCTAATTTTAATGAATTAAAATTAAAGTGAGTTTAAAAAAACAGCCTGAAGGTGCTGCAACAGATAGCTGCTGTCTTGTCTAGAGGTCTGTTTGTATCACATAAGCTCCGGTTTAAAATAGTGTGGTAGGAGCAGCAGCTACAGGTTCAGTTCTGTCGAGCACTGGTCCCCTTCATTAAATACGGTACATGTGATTCACAGTGGCACTAAATCAACACCTGTCACATCTTTCACATCAATCAAAGCAGCTTTCAGGAGTTAATGGTTTATGTCAGTTCTTTCCGACGATATACACTTTTGTTTTTTCTTCTTTTCCACAGGTCTGCTAGGTGTGCTGAGTGTGTGTGCTACGTTACTGCAGTTATGCACTGGCTGTCCTTCAGAGTGTGTGTGTAACTCACTGGAAGCTAACTGCAGTGGGCGGAGTCTAGTATTTGTGCCCGCTCTCACTTCTCTCCCGGAGGGCACACATACCCTCCTTCTGGCCAATAACCGCCTCTCCTCCCTTCCCGTCTCTGCCTTCGCCAACCTAAGCACCCTGGAGACACTCGACCTGTCCAATAACTATTTGGACAACCTGCCTTCCAGACTGTTCCGTGAGCTGAGTAACCTGAGTGATTTGAGTTTGCGTAACAACAGCCTGACGGTTTTGGATCGCGAGTTATTTCGCGGCCTGACCCTGCTGCGGAGACTGGATCTGTCTCTGAACGGCTTGGCCGCTGTGCCGCTGGGCCTGCTGGATGAGCTGCAAGGGCTGACTTGGCTCTCCTTGGCTGGGAACAGACTTCATGCTCTGGAGAGAGCCACATTTGAGCCTCTCGTCAACCTTCAGCACCTGGAGCTGGGCATGAACCCCTGGGAGTGTGACTGCAACCTGAGAGACTTCAAACACTGGATGGAGTGGCTAATATATCGAGGTGAGGACTGCATGCTGTTTTGGTTCTCTGCAAGTGTACAAACACGTCCTTTAAGCAATAAGCCACAAGAGGCTGTGTGTTACTGGGATTTTACCTTAAAGGGATAGTTCACCCAAAAATGGACGTTCTGTCATTAATTACTCACCCTCATGTCGTTCCAAACCCGTAAGACCTTCGTTCATCTTCCGAACACAAATTAAGATATTTTTGATGAAATCCAAGAGCTTTCTGACCCTGCATAGACAGCAACACAACTGACACGTTCAAGGCCCAGAAAGGTAGTAAGATAAATATCGTCAAAATAGTCCATGTGACATCAATGGATCAAGCGCAATATTATGAAGCTACGAGAATACTTTTTGTGCGCAAAGAAAACAAAAATAACGACTTATTCAACAATTTCTTCTCTTCCGTGTCAGTCAACCATGGACTATTTAAAAATGTCCTTACAACCTTTCTGGGCCTTGAACATGTCAGTTGCGTTGCTGTCTATGCAGGGTCAAAAAGCTCTCGGATTTTATCAAAAAATATAATTTGGGTTTCCGAAGATGACTGAAGGTCTTAGGAGTTAAGAACAACATGTGAGTAATTACAGAATTTTCATTTTTGGGTGAACTATCCCTTTAAGTGCGATGTGTTCTTTGGCACAGCCCAAAGTGGACTGCCTAAAACACCCCTAAAATCACTGTCTTCAGTGACATATTGTGCCTATAAAGTACAGTGCTCAATAAATAATTAAAACTATGAATATTTAAAATTTGAATAAACTACTCTTCCATCAAGTAATATAGTTCATTGGCATTTTACAAGGGCTTTGAACGTGGCTCAACCAATGAGAATTTAGAGAATTATCAGTTTTAAAAAAGCTTTATTAAGCCTTTTAACAGATGCCACTGTAAGCTAATGGTAAGTGCATATACACCAAACATATTGTAGGATATGTACCCACTCTCTCCCTAATAATTCCCTGTCTATCTTTTGTCTACCACTGGCAAATAAAATGTGGCAAAACCCCAAAAATCATTGTGAAGCAGAGCTTAGAAGCCTCTGCTTCTTATTATCGATACCTCTCGCTTTCTATTTTTCTATCTGTCTCAATCCTTCTACTCTGAGTCAGAGAAACTCATTTCATTCTATTTCAGAGCAGCTTTGAGAGGGAGGGGGATTTGAAACAGACATGAGAGTCTGAGTCACAAAGCTTTTAGCGTATGTGAGAAAGAGACTCCAGTCATGGTGGGCTCCGATTCTCTTGCTCTGTTCCAAAACCTAGTGAGCTGCCTACAGAGGCAGCATTTTGAGGCATCATAGATTCTCTCTTGACATGAAGGTAGGTATCTTACTTATGCTGCCTTCTGTTTTGACCAAATTCTAAGGCATGTTTATTTTCATGGAGATACCACAATGCAACAAATAAGAAAATCCAAGATAGATACATTAAAATCAAGTGTGAGTCGTCTATCCTGTGCAAAACATAAAAAATAAAATAAAATAATTGTGTGGCATGCGGAGTTGCTGCCTATGTAGAGCATTCCAAATCAGTCTCATGAGGTTCCATGACAGTTATGCTGCCTTTGAAGGCTGCTGCCTATGTAGGCAGTGGGCAGCATGGCTGCTCACTAGGTTTGGGAACAGAGCTTCTGTATGCATGTCAGGCTTATTAATTATACACCAGCTACCACTCTTCCTCTCATACAAACACACGCACGCAAATTGAAGAGGGCTGCTGACCCTACTAGCTGTGCGGTGCTATTTTGGAGGGCTTGAAGCAGCCATTTAAATTCATTAGAGGTGACTATTGTTTACCTTAGAGAGCTAAAATTTTAATTTATCTTTCTCTATTGCTTTGTCATAGGCGGTTATGTCGATGCCGTTGAGTGTACACTTCCGAAGGACTTAAGGGGTCGTGACATCAGGGGTGTTCCTGTGGAGATGTTCAACTACTGTCTGCAATTGGAAGATGAGAATGGGGGCGGGGCTGGGAGCACAAAGAGTGGATCTCCACCTTGTTTTCGAGGGACAGCCGCTCCGTCATCTGATGGTGCAGTGGTGCGTACGCAGGCGGAGCTACCAGACTGTGTGAAGCAGCGTTATCGGCCGGTCAGTGTTCGCAGGGCGATCGGTACAGTAGTGATCGCTGGTGTGGTCTGTGGAATCGTGTGTATTATGATGGTGGCTGCCGCAGCGTATGGTTGCATTTATGCCTCTCTAATGGCAAAATACCAACGAGAGCTAAAGAAGAGGCAGCCGTTGATGGGTGACGCAGAGGCAGAAGCCAACCCGGAGGAGAAACATATCTCATCAGTTGCATAGGGGAATGGGGGAGAGGGGTCAGAGTTCAGAGGTCAGCCACAAATCTAAAGAACCCTTTACTGGTTGAGCTGCTCATTTGATGATCATTTAGCTGACCAGCGGAGGATTCATCATCCCTGTTTCCTGTCTCTCTGTCCTTCCTGAGACCCTCTCTAACTCTCAGACTTACACTTTACTTAATCTATAAACTTTGGCCTATGACCTTTGACCTATTTGCCCCAGGACAAGAGGGACCACTCAGCACTTTAGAACTCCCCCACCCTCCTCCAGTGTTGAGAGGATCTCAGCAGAGGAGGTGTGGCTGCAACTGTTCACAGTTCTGAACCCTAATGTTTCTAGAGGATCGTGTGATGTCATTAGCATTAGCCTCTGTAGCAGCCTAATCATCAACCCAAACCTCCAAATCATAACTCTAATCCCAACCCCAATCCTAGACCTTTAACTCGAATCCCAACCTCTCAAAACTAATCCAAGCCCTCAACTCTAATCCTATCCCTTCAATACTAACCCCAACCCTTACCATAACCATCACCTCTAACACAGTCTACACCGGGTCGCACATGCAAGTGGCACAACACATCAAAAGCCAATAACACTCATTATAATCAATGCTGTCTACAATAGATACATTCTGATGCATTGCACCGTAAACTGATGCCCCAATTTCTGACATACTACATGGCTTGTCCAACTTCCGACAAAATGACAAATTGATTTGGAATGTTGACTTTAAAGTGTCCCATGTAGACAGCCTCACTCTCATGTCAACCGATGTGCTCGGTGTAGAAATGGTGTAATCATAAACTTCCAACTCCACTACCAAGCCTAACCTTAAATATCCAGCTCTACTCCCAAACTTTAACCCTAAATGTACAACACAAATCCCGATCTTACCACAAACCTTCTCCATCCCTAATCTAAACCCCCAACCCTAACGATCCGACAGTAACCCATACCCTTACCATAAACCTCCATCATGAATACTAACCCTCTCAACTCTAACCCTAAGCCTCTGAACCTACAAGCCTGTACCTCCAACATGAATCCCCACCCTTACCAAAAGCCTCCATCACTAATCTGAACCCACAAACCTGTACCTCCAACATGAATCCCTACCCCTTACCATGAGCCTCCATCATGAATCCTAACCCCCAACTCTACCCCTAAACCTTCAACACTATTCTGAACCACCAAATCCTAACCCTGTAACACTGTTACCATAAACATCCATGACTAATCATAACCTAAAATTCTAACCCTAAGCCTCCAACACTTCTACATGAATCCCTACCCTTGCCAAAAGCCTCCGTCACTAATCTGAACCCACAACCATAAACCGCCAATGGTAATCTCTGCCCTTAGCATGAATCTCCATCACTAATATGAACCCCACAACTCTAAACCTCCATCACCATTCCAAACATCCAACACTTACCCTAAACCTTCAGCTCTACTCCCAACCCAAACATTAAACCCCCAATACTAACTCTCACCTCCAACCTTAATTGTAACCCTTAACCCTACCCCAGTGTGAACTTAACATCATAACCCCCACATATCATATTTGAAATATCCCCACCTTATTTATCAGCTATAATATATTCTATACAATGTGACGTGACCCCAGTTTTATGTTTTTAAGTGTGAGGTTTGTCCTTTGTATTGTGTGATAATTTGTGTTGATAACATTTTTTTGTTCGTTTACTGTTTGCTATTTCTCCATGTTCATCTCTAGAGGTCAGACGTGTTTTTGTAAGACTAGAAGAATCCAGCCCTGGTGTCTATCGTGAAGTGTCTTGAAGTATCGTGAAGTGCTAATGTAGAGCAGGCTGAGGACTCTGTGATGTTAGTGGAGGGTGGCAGATTGTGGCTATTGGAACTGTTAATTACACCTTGGTGGCTAAAGAAGCACAGTGGCCCTACAGGATAGCTGCCCTCTAAACAAATCCAGAAAGACAATAGCTGAGGAGGAAATAAACCTTACCTTTATTAAGATAGACTTTTCTGTGCAATATAAATCAATGTCTTTGTTGATCTGTTGTTTAATTCTGGACTAGGATGTCATATCTGATTTAGTCTGATCTTTTCTCTTGGGCTGGCGATGGAAGAGAATCGATTGCGCCTGTGTGATCAATTTTCTGCTTGTGGACCAATTTGCATAATCCGCTTTTCCTTGAGGGCAGAAGTTGTTTAGACTAAATAATTCAGATAAATTTGACTTGGGCTTTCAGAAGCCCACAGATATTCTCAATATAAGCTTTTCTGCAGCAATCAACCTCAGCGACTGGATGAAAAAAGGAAAAGGGAAAGAAAGGCTGTCAAAAACTAGCTGCACATTGGTAACATGAACCAACATACTCATTTCCTCAGTATTACTGAAATTTTAGAGTCCGAATATAATGTTGCTAATAAAGTCAAGAGTAACGTCATCATTGGGTGTCTTGCACAATGCTGCCATCTATAGGAAGGATGTGCAGTAGGCACAAGGGTGTGGAGCAAATATCACACCACCTCGTCAGGATTTAGGAGATGCTCTTCCGCTGTAACTATAGCAACAGTCTTTCCCACACTCTATTCATTACCAATGCAAATTACTGGTAAGTTTGCTAGCAAAAAGTTGTAAATCAAAGTACAACTAATTTGTGTGCTAATACCCACACCAGCAGTTAAGCGTCCAGGACTTTGTCTCTGTGTTCAGTGATATTTGCAGCCATAAGCTGAGTATATATAAGTACAGATATACATTTATTCAAAAGTATGTTGAATATATGTATATATATTTTAATCTGTGTCTTACAAATTATTTATGAACAATAACTTGATTGCAAAAATTGAGTATACTTTTCCCTGCGTTTCCTGTGCAAACTCCTTTTGTAGAGGAACTCTTAAAAATTCTCTGTCAGAGAATTCAGAGAAAACTCATGAATTATTAATGAGAGGAGTTTCGTCTAATGGTTGCGGTCTCTCCTGCCATTACTGTTCATTTAGCTCTTATTTTATACAGCATGTGTCAAAGGCCTGTACTCTGCACGGGGCGACAAAACACATACCCTGTATCCTCTGTTATGAAAAGAAAAGAAAAAAAAAAGACAAAAGCACCTTTGCCACTGGTGGACTAATACTTTCCTGTCAAATTGCACTTATTGCGAATATTCTCAAAGGTGAGCACATGCTTGTTTATTGACGATGTCAGCAATGCGCTTAATCTGAATATAAGCCGACAGAGCAGTCGTGATGTCAGTAATGTCAGTGAATATGAAGGGCGGTTTATGAATGAGCAATGACTCAGCTGGGGTGTGTTTACTCTGTCCTGGCCTTACATATAAGAGCAGGGACACCAAACAAACTTCACTACGCACCCTTGCTAAATAAAGGCTTTGTAAATCCCAGTTGATGGATGAAAGTAAAGGATTTGCCCATTTGACTGAGCTGAAAGCATCTTCAAGATCGTTATGAAGGTCTGGTTTAATATCTTATAGCTTATTGATGTGACCCTTTCTTCACTTGACCTTTTTTCTAAGACTGATATGAGATCCCTCTTTATATTTTCGCTTGATAAAAATCAGTTTGAAATATGATTTGTGAGCTGTGATATAATTCTGTGTTAAAAATGAATAAAGAATGTATTTCCGTAATTGTTGAAGTGTAAGATTCAGCAAGCACTCACACACAGTTTGCTCAAAGTAAAATAATCAAATATGCGTATGTTTTAGTTTTTACACAAAACGGAGAAAGATCAGGATTCAAAATCTGGATCAAAAATGGATAAACCAATGGGTCAAGCATTGGCTGATTAGCATAGTCTAGTTAGCCCCTGCTAGTAGATAATAAAACACCATTATGGAGGTATAATGCATTTTTGACTGGCATTTGACATTGGCATTTTTTTAACACTTAAAAGCATGAAATAGTCCAACTGCAGTGACTTCCTGATTTTTTTTTTTCCTGATCTTTTGCTTATATAGTGCATTAATACAAGTAATCAGTTTTGAGTGTCTTTATAGCCCCTTTCACACAGTAATACCAGTAAATTGCCGTAAAATTACTGGAACAACTTTACCGGTAAATAAAAAAATGCGCTTTTCACACAGACAATGGCGTTCAGTGTTTTTACCGGTAAAGCACCATTCACACATTGGTTTCAAATTACCAGTTCTGTGACATCATTAACCAGAAATGACCCAAACGGCTGCGCTTCCCGGTGTTGTGTTTGTAAACATGGAATGGTATACGCCAGTTGTTCACAACCCTGGTCCCGGACTGGTGTGTCAGAGAAAGGAGACATGCAAAATGTGCAGTGTTGGGGTGCCTCCAGGACCAGGGTTGGGAACCACTGGTATACGCGGTCAGTGTTTTTGTTGATGTTTTCATTTTTGTGTCAAATGTTCACATTCATGCTGCACTTTTGGTCCAAAGACATCGAATTAGACGACTTCAAACCGAACTACACAGCACGGAGTAAAAGCGTCATCTGCGTCAGAATATTCTGCGTTTACACACAGCATCATTCCGGCAATTTACTGGTAATGTTACAACTTCTCATACCTCATACAACTTCTCATTCTCATAACTGGTATTTTTGAAAAGGTCTGTTCACACATGGTCTCTAAATGGTAATTTAACGGTAAATTACCAGTAAAGCCTGTATGTGTGAAAGGGGCTTATGAGTACAGAAGAAATAGCACAAGCAAAGGTCATGTTGGGGAAAGGAGATGTTCATGAGGACATGAACTCCATAAATGGTTGCACATCCATACATGGGCACATGTGCGAACACACACTTAAAATGGACAAAGATAATAGCATCTCAATGGGCCGTTTTTCATCAGCACAGACTAATATAGAAGAAAAAAAAGATTAAAAGATAAGAATAACCAGGGAAAATCGTACCTCCAGCAACTGCTGTCTTTTTGTTCACAGAGACTGTAACAGACGTGACAGCAATCACAAACCTGCCATCCACTGCAGGGAAAGAAAAAAAAATACTGAGCATGATATTCTAAACAGGGTATAAAATTGTCTGTATGATGTGGATTGCCGGGTGCAGGCTACCTTGTGTGCTGTCCTCTATAGGGACATAGTACAAAAATCGTCCAGATGGATTCTCTGCCGCACGACGATACCAAACAGGGAAATGGTCCAGAGTAAAAATATTCTCCTTATCCGATGGAGATAAGAATTTTCTGAGGGAAGAAAGAGATTCATATCAGAGTGTGTGTACGTATGATGATATATATATACAGTATTGTATATACTAGTATAGTATTTAGATGGAACTACTTGGTCAATGCTTTATTTACAGTACATTGATTATGTATATTAATATAGTTTAATATACATGTTCTGTTTTACTGCCTGTTCCTCTTTATATTTCCAGTGTTGGGTGTATTTTAGATTGCATACTGATGAAAGTTATATGAAGTGCTGTGGGAGTGGGTGGCCTTAAGAAAACCTATGACAATGCAGATGCTGTCTATGCGGTTGAGTCGTGACGCAGACAGCAGGAGCTCTGATTAAAGGTACTCACTTCGCCACACGTTTCTCTGCGCCGACATATCTGATCATTCTCATGAGGCCAGAGCGTGTGCCCAGGAACGCCGTCTCCACACCCCCATCAATACTGCACACGACGGAGGCGAGTAGAAGAATGAGAAAGGTCACGGCCGAGCATGTATTTGACTAATGAAACTTGTCTGTGACGCTGTGTGCGTGGGTGGGAAGTTTTACCCGGAGGCATTGAGCATCAGTGCGGTCCAGTAGGCTTCCATAGGAGCTGTGACCACTGCGTCAAACAGAGTCTGCTGCAGAAGTCTTTCATCACCTGAAGAACAGACAGAACAGAACTCAACTGTGGATATCATCAATTATCATTCAGATCAAACTGTGTTTAATTACAGAACAAAATGGTTATGATGTATACAGAGAATAAAAGGTACAAAGATATGAGATGTTCTACATGTGCAACTAATTGTTTAACTCTGTTCTACTGTTTGAACAGAGTATTTATATTGTGTTTGCTGCTTACACAGTTCATGCAAAAATGAAATTTCTATCATCATTTACTCACCCTTAAGTTATTCCAAACCTGTATGAATTTCTTATGTTGAGCACAAAAATAAAAAAACATTTGCTGGTAGCCATTGACTTCCACAGTATGGTAAAAAAAAAAATACTATAAAAGTCAATGTCTACTGTCAACTGTTTGGCTACCAAATATCTTCTTTTGTGTTCAACAGAAGAAAGAAAATCATACATGTTTGGAACAACTTGAGGGTGATTTAAAGGGGTCATATGATGCGATTAAAATTTTTCCTTTCTCTTTGAAGTGTTACAAGCTCTTGGTGCATAAAGAAGATCTGTAAAGTTGCAAAGACTAAAGTCTCAAATCCAAAGAGATATTCTTTATAAAAGTTAAGAGTCAGCCACGCCCCCCTATGATGACAGAATTGTAATTTTGAATTTTATCACCTTTTTTGATGAAATGCTTTTGTTTTTGCTTATTTGTAATTGAACATGATTATAAATAAATGTAATGATACAAGTAAAAACTGAAATGCCAGGTAAAAACTTATAGTCTATTGTCCAAAAGACAGAGACAGAGCTCACATTCCAGGTTTGGTTCTTTTCCAGTTAGGTACTGAACCACAGCCTGAAACTGTGTCAGTTTGCGGTGATGTGGATCGATGTCAGTCTCACAGTATGTCCTGAAATATCAAAAACCATCAGATTAGGGTATATTACGGCATTTCAGATGTTAGAAACAGCCTAACATGGTTTTTAGCCTTCGATAACATCTACCATTCATTAGCAATAGTGACATCAGAAGCAGTCAGGTCATGTAGGCCTGTAGACAGAAAAAACAACAACAACAACACAGCTGAGAGGAATTGAGGCAGGCAAATGATCTGTATTTTGCAGGTACTAATCTGAACATCTTTACCTTCTTCAACTGAAACATTTCCGATGAAAACATTCTTCCCATAACCTTTGGTAAGTACAATTCCAAGACTGATAACAAAGGTGCACAATATAAGTCCAGAAGTCTCGCACTTAGCAAAGATTTAAATATGTTTTTATCACTGGTCACCTGAATGGAGTTTCATTAATGGTAGTGTAAAAATATTCATTTTTCAGGAAAACAACTCTTTTCTGAGAAGGGAACACATCAGCATGTAAGTATGACAGTCACAGCTAGGTTATTACGAGAGAAAAATGAATGAATTCAATTAAGGTTAACATATAAGAAGCGAATTAAAGGCCAAAATCAACTCACTCCTTTCTCTACTGTTGTTCTGACATCCAGAGAGATTGTCCCACTTTTCCCTTTTACCATCGCTGTTCTCAACTAGAGGATCAAAACACACAAACACCTTGAAGCAATTGATCTAAAAATGGCATGATGAGAGTTTATTTATATGTATGTATGTACTGTATGTGTGTGTTGTTCCACTTACTGCATCTTCTGTATCTTCCCACTCCACCTCTGACAGATCCACACTGTTATAGTTCGGCTTTGGCTTCAGCTTCTTACCATCTTTATACTACCACAACGTATAGAAAATATCAACTTCAATGTGATACAAACTAATAACAAGGTAATCAGCTCTTATGTGCAATATGTGTAGATTAAGGTGCAAGATCACTAAAGGGAATATTGTGGAGCTCACCAGAGGTCGAAGGTCAGGATGAGAGAGTATATAGCCATTATTAGTGCTTAAGAATGCATAGCCATGAACTCCCAGCTAAAATGGCAAAGATAAGTCAAAACAGCAAATCATTCAGTAAAATCACATTTATTTTTCCGCCTGCAGTCTAAACAATCAGCAATTGTCACTCTGTATGCAATAACCTCCATGGATACAGCCTGCCTTATCAATGAAAAGATGTGTTTAGTGTTAGTGTAAACAGAGGACTGAAGACATTATGAAGGCACCTTGTATCGAGGAGCCAATCTCATGAGCTCTTTCAAAGGGACATCCGTGCCAACCACACCAAGGAGGATCCCATGAGACAACTACAGACAAGAAAGAGCAAATTTAGAATTATGAACAATAAAAATCTCCAAATTTTAATTTGACCACCACAATCTCAAAAACTTGAAATATATTTTTGAGTTTATTTTAAAAGAAACTATTCAATTGAACTGTTTTTAAAGTTTTAAATTTGTAAATAGTTAAACACGGAAAATATCTAAATATTAATAACACTTGTCAAGGACATATGTGACCCTGGACCACAAAACCAGTCATAGCACGGGTATATTTGTAGTAATAGCCAACAATACATTGCATGGGTCAAAATTATCGATTTTTCTTTTATGATTTATTCTTTTAAAAATCATTAGGATATTAAGTAAAGTAAAGATCGTGCCATGAAGATATTTAGTAAATGTCCTATCCTAAATATATCAAACCTTCATTTTTGATAAGTAATATGCATTGCTAAGGACTTCATTTGGACAACTTTAAAGGCGATTTTCTCAATATTTAGATTTTTTTTGCACCCTCAGATTCCAGATTTTCAAATAGACGTATCTCGGCCAAATATTGTACTAACAAGCCATACAGTACATCAATGGAAAACATATTTATTCAGCTTTCAGATGGTATATACATCTTAGTTTGACACTTATGACTGGTTTTGTGGTCCAAGGTCACATATCAGCTAATGATTAGTTCTGGCTGGTTATATAAGCGCGTTCCCGAGGCCCGAGCTTTTTTCGTCAGTCGCGAGAAAGCTGTTACTGAAGTAACGCCGCGTTAGCGTGTTGTTATTTACAAGCCTTTACATCACACTTTTTAGGTACAAAAGTCAGCTTATACTTTAATATTGTAGCGGTATATATTAGGCAAACATTTTAAGAGTGTTGTGTATTGTATATTTAATATTTTCGTTGGATTATATGAGAGTTTACGTTTTATAAGGGATGATTTAAAACGGATGTGACGAGCTTCCAGTATAGTGTACACTGTACATTATCCAAGATCCCAATCACGAACTCCCAATGTAGTTTAACTGGAAGAACGCCACATTAACATGTAAAAATTCAAGCTGCGAGCATTTTAATTCATCCCGGTGATTCGCATCGCTAAAAAGAGTCGTTCAGTTCCCTTTCTGCAATTTACAGCGGTACGCCAGGAAGTGACTGTTTTTCAGTGTTATGAGTGATTTTTTGAATCATTCAGTTAGCCGTTTCATTCAAAATAACGAGTCATAAAATAACATTTTATCATGACAACTATAATGTCCTTATGTAATTTTAATTATGTATTTCATTTTTGCACATTACTAATTCTTCTGCCCTCCTTGTTGAATGAGACTGAATTACATGATAAACTATGAAAGAGATTGTGTGTGTGTGTGTGTGTGCAGCCACACTTTTCTCTAATAGTATATTAGGCAGGTCAGGAGAGCTGAAGATTTTAAGTTTGTTTTTTTGGCAACTCACTGTTTCTTCTTTCTTGCTGAACACAGGCATGGCCACAGAGGTCATCAACAGCAAACTCTCAGCCTGTGTGTTAAAAAGCTGAAAGACAAGAGAGAGAGAGAGAGAGGAAGAGAGAGACGACATAGACTGAATTAATGGTAAATCCCAGCCTGGCCTGTGAAGTGGACAGCAAGCTGAACAAGACCACAGAACACATCCATTAAGAGCAGGTGCTTCTCTGGTAGGTGGAATCAGTTTCTTATTGTTCTACCAAATGGCAAAATACAGTAACTACACCAACACTGAAACTGAGAAAATGGCTTCAGAGTTTCTTAATGAATTAATATAAATTTTCTGAGTGTGTGGAGCCAAACAGTGGAGCCAAACCCATCTGTCACAAGACAGATCATAGTCTAAGAGACCTGATTTTCAAGTAGTGTAGTTACTGTTTCTTGCCTTTGTAGGGCAGTGTAGTCATCTTCAAAATTTACACCCACAGAATTTCAAAGAAACATCTCCAGATTTCCACAGAATTCAAATCTTCAAAAAAGTCAAAATCTTACGAATTCAAATTTGCCCTCTCAGCTCCCATGTAACACATTTAAATCCCATAATCAATGAAAATATGTGTAGCACTTTTGTGAAAATAATTTAGTCTAAAACCTGCATATCACATTAAATGTAAGACGTGTTAATCACCTAGAATACACTGTTTTTAGCAAAAAATAAAGAAATAAATTCATTAAAAAATGCATTCCTAAAGGATTCACTAAACAGCATGTTACATCTAGACCTGTAAATGGAATTTGTGAGAATTCCTTTAGTTTTTGACTGAAAATCTACCAGACATTCGATTAAATTAAAACCCTCACAGGCATCAGAACTTCTAATTACGACTAAATTGTATCTAACAAGGAACTTTTAGGAACTAAATGACAAGAAAACGTGAACTACTGCATTAAGGCATACAGGATCATTTTTGATCTACAGCGCAGAACGAAAGAGTTTACCTCTGCTGTATTGGGTAGCTGGAATGGGATGACAGACATAATGAAGTAACAGACATAATGAGATCACTCTCAGGAAAGAAATCACAACATGAGAGGTTCAAAATTAATGAAGGCAAAAAATGATCAATATGCAGTTTTGGGACAGTATGAAACATCACCTTTTGTGTACAGTACTAACATGTTCAAAAGGAAAGATTGAAGGAGAAAAGGTAAGCAGCTCACCACACTGTCCATGTAAGCCTCTGTCCAAATGATGTCATGATCATGGTTGATGACCATTGGCCTGCTCAGCACATGAAGATATTCCATCACATTCTCCTGTACATTCGCCAGAGTAGAGATATGAGTGTAGTAACCTAATTACAAGCACACAAAAACAGCAGTAATGAGAAAATGTGATTGATTGATTTATCTGTTACCAGCAGAGGGCATAGCTGTCACAAAATGTAATTATAATTCTGTTAGAACAGATTGTGGAAAGGGAAATATCAAGATTTAGTTACATTGTCATTTCCAGGCTTGAAGAAGGCAGGGAAATTAATAAATTCTAAAAAGTCATGGACATTTCTATTGTCAATATAATTTTGCACAGGTCTGTCAAAACGCCTTTAGTAATCAGCGTTGTTATTGTTAACTAAAACTAAATTTAAAAAAGAAAGGTAATTGAAATAAAGTAAAATATATATTAAACTTTAATAAAAACAATTAAACTTTTAATAAACTGAACTTAAAAATTAGAAATGTTGCCTTGGAAACAGAAATGAGGTACTAAAAATTTGGGAAAATAAATTAACACTATATAGAAATATAGTGACCTATACCCACCCCCACCCACCAAAAAAAGAAAAAAGAAAAGAAAATGACAAAAGCAAATAAGAAAACTTATTTATATATATTTTTTAAATTTTTGTTGAAAAATTATTATCCTGTAACAAACATCCCTAAAAATTCATGGAAAATGAAACTATGGTGCTCAGAAAAGGCTGTGTGGGAAATCAGCTGTGTAGGAAACACTGGAAATAAAGTCATGCATTACAAATACTGTACAAAGTGTGCACAATTTCTGTACAAATAAAAGACCTCACTAGCTCAGGTAGTCTCCCACAATGCTCAGCTTTAATTAAGGTAGATCTCACCTTTATTGTTGCAAGCAATCCATTTGACATTGTCAGCAAATGTTAACTCTCGTCCAATCAGATATGTGAACACGCGCACCTGTTTGAGAGCGTATTGTGTTATCATTGTGTTATATGCACACAGGTAAAGCGAGTATCCATAGTGTGTGTTTGTGTGCGTTTGGTACCTTGCGTTCTGGCCAGTTGAACTCTTCAAACACCTGCTGGAAATCTTCCATGGCTCCATCAGTGATCAACATGATTGCCTGGTTACATAAACTCCCCCTGCCTTCTGCTGCTGCCTACACACACAAACAAACTTTTGATATATCAACATTTCCATATGGATATACGTACATTCCTTCCCTCAAACACTAACACACCTCGTTGAGAATCTTGAAGGACTCTTTTATGGCTTTCTTCACCTTTCCTTCACCTTTCACTTGCAACTCCTCCACCAAAAGTTTGAAGTGCTAGAAATAAATAGGATGCCGAAAATATAAAAATCTCATATGGCAGCTGAATTCACTGCTCTGTGCAAGTGAAGAAAATGTTACCTCACGGTTATCCAGGTCGGCCTGTACTAGTGTGCCTTTAAAACGGCTCTACATACCGGACGTAATCACTGTACTAGAAAGACAGAAAATATTAGGTGTTATTTAAGATAATAACCCAGATTTACATAGAGGAACTTGCCACTTGATCTGATCATGTCTGGTTAGGACACAGTGTAGAGGATTTCTGTTCTTACCGCAATGACGTTGACAAAGTCATTTTCGCCAAGTGTGTCTAGAATGGTGTTGATGGTGTGTTTAGCAATGGTGAGCCTCAAACCCTTCATACTACCGCTAATGTCCACAGCGATGATAATATCTTTGGGGGATGTGGCTGCCTGGATGTACCTGAAAAGGAGAAATAAAATTATGGAATTTTTTTTTTCAAATGCTTACAAGATCAGATCAGTTTAGTTAACTGCAACCATTAAAAATTGTTTAATTTTAGTGAAATAAAGCTGAATTAAAAGATAAATATTAGATGAAAAACCTAAGCTGGCAATAAAGAAAATGAAAATAAAAAAATAAAAAAATAAATGAAAGCTAAATAGAGGTATTTAAATAAAATAACAAAATTGCCAAAACTAAAATAAAAACTCTAAACATAAAAATAAAAGCTAATTCAAAATATGAATGAATGCTAAAATAGTATATAAATAATACTAGCTCACATGGCCATTGACAAACACTCGAGACATTTCACAGTAATAATTCCTCAACTTGATCTGATCATGTCTGGTTAGGACACAGTGTAGAGGATTTCTGTTCTTACCGCAATGACGTTGACAAAGTCATTTTCGCCAAGTGTGTCTAGAATGGTGTTGATGGTGTGTTTAGCAATGGTGAGCCTCAAACCCTTCATACTACCGCTAATGTCCACAGCGATGATAATATCTTTGGGGGATGTGGCTGCCTGGATGTACCTGAAAAGGAGAAATAAAATTATGGAATTTTTTTTTTCTAATGCTTACAAGATCAGATCAGTTTTGTTAACTGCAACCATTAAAAATTGTTTAATTTTAGTGAAATAAAGCTGAATTAAAAGATAAATGTTAGATGAAAAACCTAAGCTGGCAATAAAGAAAATGAAAATAAATAAATAAAAAAATAAATGAAAGCTAAATAGAGGTATTTAAATAAAATAACAAAATTACCAAAACTAAAATAAAAACTCTAAACATAAAAATAAAAGCTAATTCAAAATATGAATGAATGCTAAAATAGTATATAAATAATACTAGCTCACATGGCCATTGACAAACACTCGAGACCTTTCACAGTAATAATTCCTCAACCGGATAACAGCGTGTGAAATCTCATCTACGTAATGTTCTGAGAGAAGGAAGTAATGAGATCACAATAAGAAGGTGACAGAGAGACTGAAACAGCAGTAGCCTGGTATACACATTTTTAATTAGCTTACTTGTGTTTATGTAACTTAATGTAACAGAACTACTCAAATTTCATAAGCGCACCACAGTCATCACTCTAGCTGTTCAGATATAGGAACGTAACACAAGACAAAAGGTTTGTACTCCGCGTTCGTTACTGCTAAAGAGATTGCATGCATTAGCTGTAATAACATTAGTCCTGGCAGAAGGTGTTTGAGGAAACTGGGCAGATGTAACTGTTAGTCATGGAAAGGAATCCAGATTAAAATCTTTCACTGAGATCAGTCCTACTGCTCCTTGACCCTGGACTGCAGCCAAGTCACTAATCTTGATGTCTCCTTGAGTTCTCGATAGTTAATAGAGGTGAAAGACTTCTATCACAATCAGTAATCCAACGTTTGTCGCTGTTTTGAACTTATACTACCATGACCGTCACATTTTTTAAATGCTGTGTCAGATTAATTATTATTTTAATTAATATTTAATAATAATAATATATATGTATATCAATTTTTAATATTTTTTTGGATAGAAAGATTCTAAGACTCACCAGTTGCGATTCCTGGCATCAAAAGTGACAACTCCATTTTCATCAGGTGTCCACTTGATACCTTAAAGAGTGTATAAATGAATATGATTACAGTCTCCTCTCCATGAGAGAGGGAAGGATTTCTGTGTTCATATGTGTGTAAGATCTGGAAAGCCTGAGTTTATTGGTTTTGTTACTGTGTCAATAGTGTGATGACATGATAATAAATGAGAGAGGCAGAGAGAAGAGCCTGAGTCACTGTCACCATTAATCACACCAGTAATTCTATGTCAATTAGACTCTCTGTCCTGTGTCTGAATGAGCAGAAATGCATGTTCAAACACTGTCATTTTTGTCTTATATGTTAATAAGAATAATCACTGTGCTTTCATGCCGTAATTTGCAATGGTGCATTTAAAGGAGCGAGGCTGTTGTGTGATGATTACCAGGGTAAAGTCTGAAAAATCCTGTTGAACTGCCGAAGTACTGCCAGGTTAGAGTCGGGTCTTTCTCAAAGTTACTGGTAAATATGTCATTCAGCGCTTCTGACATAAACACCCCGTTCAGAATATCAGGATCTGAGAGACAGAGAAAGATTTGCTTGATCTTTTTCTAATTAGGGATGAAAATGCAGTTTCATTTCTGCGTCTCACCTTTGTTATAGACATTGGTGGGCACTTGTATGACGCTTTGCTGGGTACTGACAGGCAGTTTGTTGAAGTGTTCATTCTCCTCCAGAGGAAATTCTCCCCCCAGAGCCACATAGCTCCCATCCTCATCCAATGTGTTAATCATCATGGAATTGCAGTAGTCAAACTGCAGAAGAACAAGCACATTTGAGTATAGATTGAGAGATGAATAGAAGATTGAGGGGGTGGAAGAATGGATAGAGAGCTCACCTCTAATGTTGCATTATATTCATGATAAAAATCTGCATCCTCTACTGTCTCTGCCATTCTCTATATAAAACACACACAAAAAAAGAATTCCATAACAAATAATTATTTTGATAGTAAGAATTTTATCATTTTATTACTAGAGCATCATGACAAAATACTGATATCTCTGACCTTGACTGATTTCATCTTTCTGCCCAGCATGTTCTCCATTTCTTCAGCAAATTCCTTCACCATCTTTAAACCATCCACTTCCCGCATCTTGACTATGGGCTCCACATCTTTATATTTCTACACACAGACACATATACTGTACATTTAATTAAATAAAAGGACAACATGCCATAGTCTTTTTAGTTTTTAATATAAAGCTAATTATAATTATTATAGACTAGAGGGTTAGCCTATAATAATTACTCCTAAAAAAAACAGACAAAAATTGGCAGATTTAAATAATAATAATATACATTTTATTTGATAAAGCACCTTTCTACGAACTCAAGGTCACTTTACAACAGGCAATAACAAAAAAGAAAAAAAGCATGAATCTGTAACTACTGAGGAACTGTGATAAGCATCACAGCAATTCACAAAAATTCAATTTGTGTAATTCTAAATGAAGGACAAAAGCTTTATATGCGCTGTTGAAGTCAGTATTCAGAAAATAACAAACAGCAAATCACTCTGATAGCCGCAAAGGCAAAGGCAGAGTTCTAGATCATTGTTCAGTATCAAAGGCCAATGACAGCAGAATCTCAATCTGTGTCCAAAGCAATGAGTCCTGCTCTTTGCCCGTAGGCCAGGAGGAAACAGGAGGTCAGACAGGGATAATCCACCTCCACACAACACTGTAAGAGTACCAGGCTTTATTCTGAGCTTAGATTAGAGACACAAAAACAAAAGGGGGGAAAAAGAGAGAAAAAGAATAGAGGGAGGAGATGCAGAAGTCTGGGAAGGTTAATCCTCTTTCTGCCTCACTGTTCAGGCACATCCTGCTATTGTGCTGCACTAATAAAGGCCCTTAAGGTAAAGCACGGCCACATATTCAGGTCAGATATAAACTGGTCGTTATATGACTCTCTGGTAGGCAGATGGGCTGCTTGTAGGCTGTGGTTAACCGTATAAAGTAATGTTAATTAGAATGTTGTGAAATTCAAACAGATTCCAGATAACTGGACACAGCTGCATCTGACATTTACCAGCAGTTAGACACATTGCTAACGTAGTGATTTACGGATAAAGCTGCAGATTATCAGACAATATCAGAAATATCCCTGATTGCTTTGTTGTTTGGATTGAAATGAGGGGGTAAAGTCAGATTTTCAATAGACTCCACACAACACTGTAAGAGTACCAGGCTTTATTCTGAGCTTAGATTAGAGACACAAAAACAAAAGGGGGGAAAAAGAGAGAAAAAGAATAGAGGGAGGAGATGCAGAAGTCTGGGAAGGTTAATCCTCTTTCTGCCTCACTGTTCAGGCACATCCTGCTATTGTGCTGCACTAATAAAGGCCCTTAAGGTAAAGCACGGCCACATATTCAGGTCAGATATAAACTGGTCGTTATATGACTCTCTGGTAGGCAGATGGGCTGCTTGTAGGCTGTGGTTAACCGTATAAAGTAATGTTAATTAGAATGTTGTGAAATTCAAACAGATTCCAGATAACTGGACACAGCTGCATCTGACATTTACCAGCAGTTAGACACATTGCTAACGTAGTGATTTACGGATAAAGCTGCAGATTATCAGACAATATCAGAAATATCCCTGATTGCTTTGTTGTTTGGATTGAAATGAGGGGGTAAAGTCAGATTTTCAATAGACAAACCTTCTGTAAGAGTTGAGCGCCTGAGTATCTGTTTGACAAGGCCAAAAGCTGTTTTCCAAAGGCATCAGCCCACTGTTGAACCCTGTTCAGAACACAAACAAAAAGCATTAGCATTACATCTTCCTTACATTTTATTTAAGCAATATCATAGCCCGGTAGACAACAGAATGTGAGCATGAGATTACTTTTAAGATAGATCTATAAACAAGAAGTTAATATCAAATAACTGATATTTCAGGAAATGAAATGTCTGGGGGAGAGACATTTTCATTCTAGAGAAAATTTGATTGGACAAAAAAATCTGTACTATAGCATGCGTCATCAATATAGGGTCAGTAAGATTTATTTATTTATTGGAAATGAGAGATTAATATACTTTTCAGCTGAGATGCATTAAACGGTGACTGCAAAGACATTTATAATGTTACAAAAGATTTCTATTTCAAATAGATGCTGTTCTTTTGAACTTAATATTCATCAGAGAATCCTGGAAAAATGTGGTTTTCACAAAAAAAAAAAAAACATTTGAAAAGCTGTATTCTACATTGATATTAAATGTTTCCTGAGCACTAAATCATATTAGAATGATTTCTGAAGGGATCATGTGACACTGAAGACTATAGTAATGGCTGCTGAAAATTCAGCTTTGTATCACAGGAATAAATGAAATTTTAAAATATATTAAATTAGTCTTATTTAAACAATATTTAAACAGTTATTTTAATTGTAATAATATTTCACTGTTACAATTTTACCAGATTTTGATGATAAAAAAAATGCAGCCTTGATGAGCAAAACAAACGTCTTTCAAAAACAATAAATTGGAACTAGATGTTAGCAGATATGGACTAAAAACACAATTAAAAATAAATAAACAAATAAATTCCACAGGGTCAGTAATGCCAGGGAGATTCTTGACATCAGCAGCAGTATGCAGTTTCTTTTAAGATCAGTGGTGGCTCTCAAAGTGGAGGATTTCAGGCTGCCGTCATTAATTAATGATGAGGGAAACCGTTGTTAACGAAAACACAGGGTCACAGTTTTCTGACCGCTAAAGATTTTAAGCTTATTAAAGCTTGTGTTGGTGTTTTCCGTAGTTTGACTTTCAGGAACTACATTAGCTCTCAGAGAGACCAAAAAGTCTGTTCAAACAGGCTGTGTGTGTGGATTTTGAGTGAATGTTGCCAGAGGTTAAGCTTTGGCTTACAGTCTTTTGGCTTTATACAAGGGGTGACAGGAGGTGTGCAGGTCATGACCTGCAAGCATTAAGATGAGATTTGGAGAAATACTGCAGTTCTGCACAAGGAATCAAAGGAGTGCTTTTAGTAGTTCATCTATAAATGTCTGAGGGTAGAGTGCAAGTGTGAAATATTTATGTTGAACTTAGCAATAAAGGTCTCTCTTACATCGTGCAGATTTTGTATTCATGTGGTTGCTGGCATGTTGAGACAGCTAAGCTCATGCAGAGATGAACTGAACTCACGTTTCAGGTGATATCCTCATCTGAGCTTGTGTTTGGATGTCCAACTTGAAAACAGCACCCAGAGCAGTGTGATGCTCCTCATCCTACCCATCAACCCCTGCCACGTGCATAAAACAGCAGCGTGTACGATCTCCAGCTCCTGAAAACAGACCTTGTGCGGTAATCCCAGTCTGGTCTTGATATCAAACTGAGCCCAAAAGACACTCCGGAAGCTTCAAAAGTGTGTTTTTGGGTGACACCGAAAACCTCCCAGAATGTTCTTCTGAAATAATGACATCTGGCTCTCTTCTCCCCATTCCTGATCATCCCCACTTGATGCTTGCATCTCATCCTTTCATCATTCTCTTCATCATGCTCTTTCTTCCTCAGAGTTTATATGAACCCTCTAAGAGTCCGATGATGTCTTGATGCGGACTGACTGGCCAGCTGGCAACTTTTGCAGTTCCACCTGTCTTTCGGATTCTCTCACCCTCATCTTATGTTCAACGCAGCTGGGAGGAATTTAAACAGAAGCAGATCCGCTCACACACTCAGTTTGCCCTCCCCACTATGATAATCCACATGGATTACACTTCACTCCCACAGTGGGGGAGAGAGACAGAGAGCGAGAGATGTAGAAGATGTAGGGTGGGTGAGGGGCAGATGTATTGGAATAGAGAGATAAAGTGAAAGAGAAAAGGGTGAGCGAGAGGAGGGCTGTCATAGTGTTTCTGGAGACAGTCTGTCCGGTCAGAAAGAAGGAAACGAAACCTTGCAACTTTCTCAAACACATAGAGTTTATTTGGACACAAGTGTCCAAATATGAATGTCATTGCACAAGTGGAATCTGTGCACAAATGATATTTTCTCATCTTAAATTTCATTTAAACAACTGGTCCCAGACTGATTTTTAGACGATGTACACTACCAAAACTTTGAGGGCAGGTTTTTTTGTTAATTTATTAGTAAAACACTAATATTCTAAAATTATTACTATTTAAAATAACTGTTTTATATTTAAATATATTTTAAGATTTAATTTAATTTAATTTATTCCAGTGATGGCAAAGTTGATTTTCAGCAGTCGATACTCTAGTCTATACTGATTTATAAAGGGTTAAAACAGTTGTGCTGCTTGATAATTTTATGGAAACTGTGATATTTTTTTCAGTATTCTTTGATGAATAGATTTAAATCATTTTTTGAAAAAGAAATCTTTTGAAATATTATAAATCTTTACTGTCATTTTTGAACAGTCTAATGCATCCTTGCTAAATAAAGCATTTTGTTAAAAAAATTAAGTGTATGCACAAGCGTTCACACAAGTGTGGATTATCACATTAATCATGAAATTACACTAATGTTTGACTTCTACTGTAGAAAGTGTCCAAATCTTTTTGTCTCCATTTAATACCATATCTTTTGTTTGACCATTTTAAACTATCTTCTTTTTGTGAAATAAAATGGGCTTTTACTCATTTTCTTCAAAACTAAATCATCTCTACTCCAGTAAAATCTTATTTGACTGTAATAATAGCAGTATGATTTTAATTAATAACATCACTGAACTACATCATCCTGCTTTATTTTAAGCACTATTAAAACAGTCTACATTATTTTTCCCTAAAACACGTACACGCTAGATTGTGTCAGTGTCCAGATGTCATGCTCTAGATTTTCCCCACTGACCCAGTTAGTGTAAATAACAGCTTCCATCCTCCAGACAGATACACACCTGCACTGAGTGCGTGTTTGTGCTTGCAGATGTGAGCTGAGGATTTTAGTCTTGTGACAATGAAGGCTGACACAGTGACGGTGATTACAGAATGACACTTTTTATACTGCAGGAGAGGATGATTTTAAGCTTATTGCAGAATATTTCTTTTGAAAATGTTTTTTAAGAATTGAATTGAAATTTATATAATTATGAATATAAATGAATACTTTTTTCAACAAGGATGCTTTAAAATGATCAAAAGTGTCAATAAAGACAATTGCAATGTCACAAAAGATTTCTATAAAATATTTGAACTTTTTAATTGATCAAAGAATCAGTTTTTACAAAAATATTAAGCAGCAACTCTTTTAAAATACGCTAAAAAAGAAATTTTAAATTGTAATAATACTTCACAATAATATTACATATTTCTATTAAAAGCCTGCATATAGAAGAAAACCTGCTATTTTCAGCATATTTATTTATAAATACAGGTGCTTCTCAATAAATTAGAATGTCGTGGAAAAGTTCATTTATTTCAGTAATTCAACTCAAATTGTGAAACTCGTGTATTAAATAAATTCAATGCACACAGACTGAAGTAGTTTAAGTCTTTGGTTCTTTAAATTGTGATGATTTTGGCTCACATTTAACAAAAACCCACCAATTAACTATCTCAACAAATTAGAATACTTATTAAGACCAATAAAAAAAACATTTTTAGCCTTCTGGAAAGTATGTTCATTTACTGCACATGTACTCAATACTTGGTAGGGGCTCCTTTTGCTTTAAATTCGGCGTGGCATGGAGGTGATCAGTTTCTGGCTCTGCTGAGGTGGAAGCCCAGGTTTCTTTGACAGTGGCCTTCAGCTCATCTGCATTTTTTGGTCTCTTGTTTCTCATTTTCCTCTTGACAATACCCCAGAGATTCTCTATGGGGTTCAGGTCTGGTGAGTTTGCTGGCCAGTCAAGCACACCAACACCATGGTCATTTAACCAACTTTTGGTGCTTTTGGCAGTGTGGGCAGGTACCAAATCCTGCTGGAAAATGAAATCAGCATCTTCAAAAAGCTGGTCAGCAGAAGGAAGCATGAAGTGCTCCAAAATTTCTTGGTAAACGGGTGCAGTGACGCTGGTTTTCAAAAAACACAATGGACCAACACCAGCAGATGACATTGTTCACAATTTGAGTTGAATTACTGAAATAATTGAACTTTTCCACCACATTCTAATCTATTGAGATGCACCTGTACTTACACTGTGTCTTAACCAGGCATCTGGCTTGGACACTTTTGAATTATTTTTGATTGTTTTGTTTGTGTATTAGTGTTATTAAGTCTTGGTGTAGAACTCCATTATCTAAATGTCACAAAACTAAACTCTACTGATGTCCAACATAAATGCTGCAATAAAACCAATCTGTAATTACAAAAATACTTAACAGGAAACACACATGCATGTGATCCTCCCTTGTTTTCTGTATTCAAACTGTTGGGTTATAATGTGACAGTGTGTGAGTGGAATAAAGCATGGAAATCAGCTGAACCCAGCACACCCAATCAAGCAGGAAGGGTACGCTTAGCATCTTTCACACACACTGTAACTGTAGCACGTGCACTCCTGGCAACACTCCGGCTGCTGCCATGCTTATTTAGATTAAAGCTCTTATTTGAGATTGATTATGAGTTCATCAGCACTAATGCTTATGATAGCTGCTTGCTCATAAATCCACACAATCAGTTATTAACTGGAGATACTGTACGCCTGCAGGATCTCTCATTAACAGGGTCCCCACAGCATTTGACCAATCAAATACAATGATTTTTGCAGTCGTTGGTAATTACTGGATAATGATTTTCATTTGTATGTCAGGTAACAACTCTTGAAATTAAAGATATTTAAACAATTATACTTATAAATGTACAAATGTTGACAATAAAGCAAAACAAAACTGAGATTTAATGGAGAACTGTACAAGACAGTATTGTGACGAGAGGGGCGGGGCCGAGAGCCGTGGGAACGGAGCGAGGCCGGTGGAGTAAATGCTAATGCACGACACCTGCGCCACTCACCGGTCTCGAGTCTCACGGAGGAGCTCTGGAAGGATAAAGGAGGAGTGACGACAGTGTTGGACGAGAGAGGACCAGGCCTGGAGTTTATTTTGTTTGGTGTGCGGCAGTCGTCCGCTAGGGGCTGCCGCTTTACTTTCGTTTTGTGTTTGTTTATTTTATTAAAGTTTTAAATCTTCGCCGGTTCCCACCTCCTTCTTCCCGATCTACAAACGTTGTTACATTGGTGCCGAAACCCGGGAGGAAGGAGGGACACGCTGCCAGAGATCCCTCGCCGCTGTGGTGAGTCCGCGGTGCCATCGAGCATGGCGGAGCAGTCTGCCTCCATGGAGGCTCGAGGCGGTAGGCTGGAGTGAGTTGCCGGGGGGGCGGACGAACTCGCTGCCGGCCGCCTGGGATGTGGAGGGACGGCTGCCGTCCGTGAGGGAGCGGAGGAGTCGCCGCCGCAGGCTCCGGCCTCCTGGCGAACGGGGCCGACTCCTCCGCTCCCTCACGGACGGCAGCCACCCCTCCTCGACCCAGGAGCGCGGCAGCGAGCTCTCCGTTTATCAATTTAATGCAATCTTTGAGAAATAAAAGTAGTAGTTTCTTTAAAAAAATAAACTAAAATAAAGTTCTAAAATTCCTGACCCCAAACTTTTGAAAGGTATTCTGAAACCTTTCAAACAGGCTTCAACCATAACAGAGCCATGTGTAGCATGTTTAATTTTGATAATTCATACATTAGTATTATCAACTAGAAAACCAGAACATACTCTGTATGGGGTGTTGGGGTATTATTTTAATAAGAAAAACAAATGGAAGAAAATTAAATTGTCAGCTTGTTTTCAGTTTGACAAGCTACTTGGGAAATACTGATGGCATTGTCTTTTTTCTTTCTTAAAAAAAAACAACAAAACGGAACCGAAAAATATTCCAGCATGTTGATATAAGAACAGAACCATAGAAAAATAGAATATATAGTATATGTACACTTTTGTTTTTATATTTAAACAATAAATTTTCATTTTAAAGTGTGACTAAAATTAATAAACAATTTCTGCTGGCTTGTAAAGGGATGAGGGCAGTTTCTGCCTGTGTCAGCAGAGATATGAAGATGCTAGAAATCAAGACAAGACATGTTTGCCTTATCCTGTCGTTTATCATGTTATTTCTATTATATTTGAGGCTAGGGTCCTGTTTTTTCTATCTTTCTTTTGTGGGTCGGTTTCAATATGCAAGGATAAAAATCCCTTCACAAAAAGAAGAATGTCTTTCCACTCAGATTTTAACATACAGCACATTTCTTGCCCTGTTGTCTAAACGATAAACGTAAAATCCATAAAATTCTTCTTTCAGAAAATTCTAAAATACTTAAGATTGCCCCTTGTGTACAAGTGGCAAATTCAAAGCTGATATGACATTCAGATAATTCAATTTACTGTATGAAGATCATACAATTTGCAATCAAACTGGTTTTCCCGTTGTGAATCTGGTGCTGAGGTGCTCAACTTCTTGGATGCTACATTCAGAATAGTAAGGTAGTCTGAGATGGGATGCCAATATGGGCTCAGAGCATGACAGCTGCATGTACGTGTACACGTGCTTCAGAAAGGTTTTGAGCTGGAGTCTGTAGCAAGATGGGAGACATATGCTTCATAGATGGTGTCCAAGAATGAGGCATCATTCTGAATCACAGAAAGAGAGAAACAACCCATTAGGAGGTACACAGTCAAACAGACTATATACACT